ACTGATTTATACAATTTATTTTCAAGTGTGTTAAAAATAATTTGGATTGAAGCAAGGATAGAGAAATGGATAGATGGATAGACAAATGTGATAAGGCAAGTGGAGCTAAATGTAATTTGTACAAGTCAGGTGGTGAGTTTTCACTGTACAGTTCTACCCACTTTTCTGCATGCTTGAAAAATCTATAGTAAAATGTTGGAAAATACTCAGTAAAATGTGGCATACTTAGGAGATGTTAAATAAATTAACTTTTGTTTTTGTTATCCATATTTACAAAGTCTCATCAGAATACTGGGAATTTCTTTTGGCTGCAGGATATCAAAGTTAGTTATATAATAAGTATCACTGCCATTTATGTGGAGATAAATTTACTTTAATCTTCAGTTTATCCAGGGAACCACTATTCAGATTTCTTAAAAGGTCTCAAAGTGAATTTAAAATTCCGGTATATAGCTAAAGAATTCAACCTGTGCATATATCTCTGTAAAAATATATGTCACAGTATATGCTCTGGTTTTCTATCATTATGAAGAGTATGGCTTTACATTTCTAATGTCCATAGCTTGTTTCGATGACAACTTTCATTATATCACAGAGTAATTCAAAAGCATAGTCGATCGTCTTTCTGAATTCAGTAAAAAGGATATATAAAAAACATTTCACTTTCAGTGAATGTTTCATATATCTCACTGATATGAAAGCTATATTTTAAATAGTCCTTCATCATATCCAAGAAATGTGAGGTGGTTCTTCATTCACTATGATTGGGCAGAACCTCTTGGGATATACTTGGCAGTACAGATAAAATGCTTACAGAGAAACTGAAAATTAACATGTGCTTGCAATAACCGAAATCTGACTTCAAAATTAGGAATTTGATTTCAATGCAAAATAATGAAATTTTATGGTTAGATATCTCAGGATTTTTTAAATGCCAACTTTATTTTATACTGGAGGATACAGGAATGAGTATTAATTGCCTCTAAAAACAAATCAACTTTAAAACATAGATATTTTTTAATTCTTTACTATAATTTTTAGTTTGTTATTTAAAATGAACAACTCAAGAATTTCATAAAAGGTATTCAAGTAAAGATAAATACTTTCAGTTATAAGAATTTAAGTTATGAAGGGCATGAAAAATAGGAAAAACTCTAAAGGAATATATCGAGGGTATGTATATAATGGAATGTCTCTTTGCAGCCATTCAGGTGCACCACTTGCGTCTTCCTTAGAAACAGTTGTTCAGCTTCAAGGAGCAGAATTAGCTGACAGCCTCCATCTACATCACCTTCACGATGTACCTCAACTTTTCAGGGGGTAGATGATGCCTGCTTCCAGGGCGGCCCCACCAAGTGACCGAGCATTTGACCATGAGGAGGAGTGGGGGGCACCAGCACCTGGCCATTTCTGCCCAATGCAGGAGTCCTCTAAGGAGCGATCTTTGCTCTGGAGCTCCGTCTTGGGTTGCATGAGACTTTATCAGGTCCACAGTTTGTTTTGAGGTTTTCTCTGACCTGCTTCCTCTCCACTTTCCTTTCAAAATCAGCATCTCAGGCTCAAAGTTTTATTTGCACCTTCCTGCCTCCTCCCCCATTTAACTTTCATAGATGTTAGTTCTCCACCCTTCCACCAAACTTCTTGTAATCCTGATGGTCTCAGAGTCTGCTTCCTGGAGAACTCAAATAGGCACACTCTCTAAGCTCTACCCTCAGGGAGTTGCGTAATCTTTTTGCTGGCTAAACACTTCTCAATTGTTGGGGAAGAACAATCAGCATTAATACAGTACTGTTAATGCTGGAATAGAATCTCAAATAATTACCATACATACAAATTGTATTTTTGCATAGTCTCTTATTCCCAAGGTTAGTTATTTAACACATGAACAGACAGAATGGTTACAACACAAACCCTGGGCCTGAGCATGAAAGAGCACCATCTGTGCTGAGAGATTTGATGAACTAGGCTGTGGTCACCGGGCTTTGCCTTAGGGCACCAACATTTCTTTACAGGCTGAAAAACTGTAAATGATAACTCTTAAAAAGAGCTCCTTTTCAATGAGCTAATGCCACCAGTATTTTTTTTAAGTTCTTAGTTTATCGATTCTCTCATGAAAAAGCTGCACAGTCACCACAGAGCGAGTCACTGCAGAATCTTTCCTCCTTCCGTTGTCCCATCTTTAGCTCACATTTTACTGGGACCAACATGGGCGTTTGCAGTTCCCTGACTATCTTATTTCTGTTCTTGCATTCCTTTCACTGTTTCTCCTCAAAGGGCCATGTCCCACAAGTCTTGGTTCATTTTTCTCTGTGAAATCCAAGGAATCATAAATCATGTGGAATCCTGTTGTCTTGCTACCACCAAAATGGATTCTGAAATCAAATACAAAGTTGGCATCTGGTGTGGTCTTGTACATTTTGGCTAGTTTTTTCCAAATTTCTCTTAGGTACTGTTGCCTTCCCAGGGTGAATGCCATTAATGACCATTTGTTTCCATGGAAGTAGTGGGTTGATCATGAACTTCCTGGTCCAGATAGTTACTATGCCATTCATGATGGCTGTGGATCTTCAAGCAGCCAGGGAGGAAAAAGCTAATGCCTCCAATTCTGATGCTCATTCTTTCCTGCCAGTCTCTCTAACCTCCTCCCTAACAAATGAATAAGTAAATCACAGCTAGTATTGGTTGAGCATCTGTATACCAGACATAGTGTGTTCATTATGTATGTTACTCCACGTAATCGTCACTTCTACCCATGAGTTTGGTTCTGCTTGGCAAATAGCAAATCCAAGACTAGAAAAGGTTAAGCACTGTACCAAGGTCACAGCTGGTAAGGGTCAGCACCTAGAACCCAGTGAGCGTCTGGTCCTTGTTCAGTCATCTCTGACACGTTAAGTCATCTCTTAATACACACTCGGTGAAGCTGGGACTAGAACCCAGGTCTTCTGACACCTCACTTTGTGCTCTTTCCTATAAACCATAAGCATCCCTTCTTAATGCTAAAAGTTATGGTTCTCAATCCAAGATTTTTGAGTGAATCCTGAATTCCTTTAGTCAAACAACCAGCTTTCAGACAGAAAAACAGAGACAACCTTTAGTAATTTTCTATTTGTTCTCTATTTGCTCTGAATGCTCGCTGGTCATTTTTTCTTCAACTCTAATATACCTTTAGTTTCATCACAATCTCAGTTGATTTTCCCTAAATCTATTATCAATGGGAGAAGAGGGCCAAGTCTCCTTCAGTCTCCGGGATGAAGCCCAACAGCGCCCCACCTTAAGAAATACTACTGGACGATACTTGTGTTCTTCCTATGGAGTCTTCCCTTTCGATCAAACAGCTATAGACTTTAGAGTGTTTTTTTCCCAATCTGATCCAAAACGTAGGGGATATTTTGTCTCCCAATAATTGTAAATTTCCAATATAGGGCATTTAAGAAAAGCCCAATACCTAATTACTTAGACATTGAGATGATTCTATCAGAAGCAACCTGGGATTTCTGTACCCTCTTCACTTCAGCCCTTTATTGTCTAACCAGAAGTAGTTATTACGTTATCATGATCCCAAATAAAAAATAACTCTGTTTATTTTGATAGGAGGTACTGATTCATTTCCCTCATTTCTGGTGGGTAGGCCCCTCTAGGTGACACAGGGCAATACATTAGATGAGGTCTCAGGATAATTCTAACACAATCTACTTCAATATGCCTCTGTAAAGTAAGATAACAACAGAGATGCAAACAACATTAAAATATTTAATGGAAGTTGCATAGGGAATCCTCTGTACCAGCTATAGAAGGCAATCTCAGCTTGAAAGGGCCTTGGCCCTTATTGAGTAAGATGAATGGTGTGTACAGACAGAAGAGCAGAGCCAGGGTGGTACTAGGTGCCATGGGCCACAGGCAGATTATCTTACTGTTTTAGACTTAATCTTTTAAAAAAGTGTGAAGAAAAGACTGAGTGGGCTGACACTTATATGTCATAGGAGCTTTGAATCTTCACAGGATTGGGGTCTTACATGTGTCTTTTAAAGGTAGCAATTTAAGAAAAATAAACCAACATATAGGGGAATCCCTCATCAGAAGCAACTAGGATTGGAATTGGTTTGTTAATTGGCAAAATTGCCTAAAGTGGGGAATTGAAAAAAAATATTTTAGCATGAAACTACACGTACATTTAGTTATCAGTCTTTTGACATAAAGCTTAGGACTCTTCTTTGAGATTCACACAGTCATTCTTGAATAAGTCACGTATATAGTAGCAGTAATAGTATTAATAATAATAGTTGAGCACTTACTATGTGTCAGGCGTTTTTAATCCTCCCAGTACCTCTTTCAGGTAGAAATTGTTATCATCCCCATTTTACACAGGAGGTTAAGAAACTTGCCTAAGATGACAGTCAATAAAAGGTAGAGATATGGTTAAAATACATGTTGTCTGGCTCCCAAGTTTACACTCTTAACCAGCACAGCGTTACGATTAACGTTGAGATGATTCTATCAGCATTAATTTCCATTTCTCGGTGTCCTTAGAGAAGGGCTTTTAGGAAACTAAAGACAATTGTGAAGCAATCTAAGTAAAGAATGTTTCCAGATTTTTTGATTTTTGTCAAAACTATGAGTCGTCTCTCCCATACATACTTTAATAACAATTTTATTAGCTACTCAATTGCATTAAATCCTTTCAGAGCATTTTCATGAAAACAAGTTTTCCAGTTTATATTTCATCAGTTTATGAAATACTGAGTCAAATTATGCAATTCCAACTGTACATGTAGAAGTATAACATTTGGGACCAAATTATGGATATTCCTGATTATTGGAATAAATGGGTTTGGGAAGGAACATTGCTGTTCTTCGACAACCCAACTTGTGGGATCACAAATGGATCACAATTACGCATGCGCAGCTTTTGCGTCATTACGTCCCGCCCCTGCAATTGCTCCCTCAGAGTGCTGTCACCAAATGACCGCGCCTCATCGTTTGCCGACAGTGAGGCCGCCACCATGGAGTCACCCCCGCTGCGGGTGGCAGTGGTGTGCTCAAGTAACCAGAACCGCAGCATGGAGGCACACTACATCCTCAGCAAACGAGGTTTTAATGTCCGTTCCTTTGGCACAGGAAGCTGCATGATGTTTTGTGGACCAGCATGCAAGAAGCCAAACATTTATAATTTCAAAATCACGTATGAGAAGATGTACAACGATCTCGTTAAAAAAGATCGAGATTTCTATACGCAAAAGGGCATCTTACATATGCTGGATAGAAACAGGAAAATCAAGCCCAGGCCAGAAAGGTTCCAGGAATGCAGAGATCAGTTTGACCTGATCTTTACCTGTGAAGAGCAAGTATATGACCGAGTTGTGGAAGAAATGTATTCTAGAGAGCAAGAGACCTGCCAGCCAGTGCACGTGATCAACATAGACATTAAGGACAACCCAGAAGACGCCACCCTGGGGGCATTCCTCATCTGCGAGATGTGCCAGTGCTTCCAGTACACAGACGATATGGAGAATGACATGGATTTGCTGCTGCAGGACTTCGAGAGGAGGAAAGGCAGGTCCTTCCTCCACACCGTCTGCTTCTACTGAAGGTCTGGCCTCCTGGTACCTCGCAGCCCTGCCGGCTACCCTTCCAAAGCCAGCGTCTTGAGTTTCCTTCTGTTCTTACTTCTCTGTTCCTAACTATTTACTCTTACTTTCAGGTATTCTGCTGGTGGATGAAAGCAGTAACCAATCAACTGTACGAGTGAAATGAGAAGATACACGTAGCTGCCAGATTAAAGACCATCAACTTTTTCCTATCCCACTTTTACTTTTTGTGTTATGTTACTTATGAAAAAAATAAGCAAATAAAATAAGTTCATAGTGCATCTTTCCCTGATGGTTGGTGTCTCTCATTGTCCCTCCCTTCCCTTTCTCCCCTAACTGGTTAGAATATACAAATGCCTGAATAAAATAACAGGCTGTATCTTAACTGGGAAAGAACCTGCAATTGTCCAATAAATAGAAGCTGCTGAAAAAGAAAGTAGGTATATTTTAGTGCCCTAGAGTGTTCAGTGTGGTGTAGACATCAATTAAATGCTTTCCATTTATGTTTATGTTTAGTTGAAATGGGGACCATCAGTTCACAACTCTTTCAGGAGGAAGTCAGTTAAGAGAATTTCTGCCATATTTAAATTCATCCGTGTTTTACCATAATATTGCAAATGGTACAGTAATTGCTTTTCAGACTTTTGGCTAAGATTGAGTGCAGTCCAAGTGATACAGTGATGCTGCATAACAAATACCTCCATATGATTCCACAGGAATGTGTTGGATTTTCCGTCTTTATTGAAAGTCTACCATGTCATAGACTCACAGACACTGAGAAAGGACTTGTGGTTACCAAGGGGGAAGGAGAGGGGGATAAAAGGGCACAAACATTCCCAATCATCATTTAGGTTGGTCACAGGGATAGTAGCACAGCATGGAGAATACAGCCAATGGTTCTGAACTAGTGAGGGTAAGGATTTAATAGTATGGTACCTATTGAACCACTGTACTGTATACTTGGAACTAATGTGAGACTGTATTAATTTGAAAAAAATAATAAAGTCCAGCTTACCAGCAAAAAGAAGTCTACCATGTCAGATATTTGACCTCATATATATTTATGTGTGTATATATACATATATATATGACTATCCTTTTATATATGAATATATACCAATAGGCTTTTTTATCATATAGCCTTTTTACATGTATATATATGAATATGGGCATACCTCTAGAGATACTGCAATATCTAGAGGTACTGCAGGTTTGGTTTCAGACTACCACAATACAGTGAGGCAAATTACTCACTTCATTTTGGCTTCCCAGCACATATAAAAGTTATGTTTACACTATACCATAGTCTATTCACTATGCAATAGCTTTCTATCTAAAACAATGTACATACCTTAAATTTAAAAATACTTTATTGCCAAACAATGCTAATCATCATCTGAGTTTTCAGTGAGTCATAGTCACTGATTACCATAATACTGAGAAAGTTTGAAATATTGTGAGCATTACCAAAATGTGACAGACAGTGACACAAATGCCTGTTTTTCCATCATTTAGTCTGAGGATGGAACAACTGTATCTCTACACACAGTGGCTAATACTCTTACAGAAAATCTGCAGTGTTTCTGGCCAGAAGATCCAGAGGACAGAGTCCATGGAAACCACAGCCACCAGAAAGCAAGGGGATAACATTGGAAAGGAGGGGTGTACACGTGTGTGTGAGTGTGTGTGTGTGTGTGTGTGTGTACCAATTTCTCTCTATAAACTTTGGTCAGTTCTGTGGTTGAATCCTGACCTGCACAACCTAACACAAAGAACTGAAACGAGCTGTTGCCACCTCAGGAAATTCAGAACACGCAGTTTGAAACCAAGCAAATGATGTACCTGATTTAAAAATAAACAAACAAAATATCAATATGAACTCTTCTAGAGACTAAAACAGACTCTAGTGTCCACACATAACACTCACAATACCCAGGGTAAAACCCAAATTACACAACAAAATGGGAAAATGTAGCCCAATTTTTAAGAGAAATGCCTATCAAGCAAGATCAATCCTATGATGACCCAGTTGTCTGAATTATTAGGCAAGGATATTAAAGGAGCTATTTATGTGCACATAAAATACTCCCTGAAGTACATAAAAATACAAAGACTGGGAGTCTCAACAAAAAAATTGGAACTATAAAAAAGAACCCAGTGGACTATGCTGATGGACAGTGACTGTAATGGGGTATGTGGTGGGGACTTGATAATGGGGGGAATGTAGTAACCACAATGTTGCTCATGTAATTGTATATTAATGCTACCAAAATTTAAAAAATAAATAAATAAAAATAAAAAAAGAACCCGGTGGAAATTCTAGAATTGAAATCATACAGAGTTGTAATCCACCTCTCAGTTATGAATTACAAAGTAAAATTAATTTTTTATAACAGCAACAAAAGGAGCAAGGTTTCCCCCCATCACCTCCTACCCTTTTCATTGAGGAGAGTCTGAGGGTGCAGAGAAAAATCTAAGTAAGGAGTGATGGAGTCACTTTCCTTCCGTACAGGAGTTTAAAGCCTTAGCATTTTGCAAACCCAAATACACTCACCTAAGAGGAATGTAACAAATAAAAATGTCTTTGTTATTAATGATTTATATATTTTAATTAGACTGAGAATATTGGAAAAGAACCCTTTTTATGACAATACTGAAAGTCCTTGGTGGCCATAATTATTGGTCACATCACTTCCCATTTAAGGACAGATCATTTCAATAGGCTTAGAGCAACGCCGCTAGTGATAAAAATCTATAGTCCTCAAACTACTCATCACTCTTAATCCTATGCTCTTGCAACTCTCTCTCAAAACCCATTTCCCTTTAAGGCCCATCTTTTAGCTTCTCTTCCATAAATAAATCATTTCATTTGTAGGAAAATAATAAAGTTATCAGTAGTAAGCAGCTGGCAGAGGAAAGATGGGGTGAGGGGGGCAGAGGCAAAGGATGTATAAACGCCACAGGCATCTTAGAGGAAAGGAAAAGAGTTTCCAGCCATACTCTCAATAGATGAAATTTATTTCTTAAATTATCACTTATTTTCTGGGACCACCCTAGGAAACCATATGAAATGTGTTAAAACACTCTCTGAACATTGCATTTTATATGTTCTGAAAAATCACATTGTGTTAAAGGATGTGAAAAAAATCACAGTGATGCTGAGATGTACATTGCATTATTGTTCTCCACCATTTTCTACTGTGTTGCAATAGTCACTCATGACCTTTTTTTTATTATGGATGGCATTTTAGTTCTATCTGATGTCAGGCATCTTTGCTTTAAATGCTATGATCTCAACGAACACTCTGTTTTGTTCTTTTGTTTTTGACTGAATTTCAGTATATACGTCGTGCCTATTTTTCCTTCTTTTGTTCACAAATATTAACAGCCCTCCAGCACCTAAAAAGAAGAGCAGACAAAACACATACTGATGTTGTAGTGAAGACAATGTTATTGTACTTGTAAAAGGTGACATTCATTAATAACAGGAGCCCTTTCTCTGTCCACATTCTCCCTCGGCTGATACTTGTAGAAGCCCACAACACAACGCATCTTCATATGGCTTCTTAGATGTTTTTCCCCACAGTTCTCAGAACAAAGAATAATTGTGCCTCAAGGCTAAAGGAACAATGACACGTCCGCCTCATTTTTCTTTAAGAAGTGCACTCTTGTTTCTGCTGTGTACAGTCACTGCCTTCCTGGTTCCCTCGCAGAGTTTCTTACTGGGTAAAATGTTTGCTGCAAGCTGATGCATTGAAATCTCAGATTGCAAATATATTTGGAGTTTCAATTATCTTGTCAGAACAGGGGGGAGACACTGAGTCTTTTGACAACTTTCTGATGAAATGCATTGTCTGCACTGCTTTTCAAATTCAGGCCTGTGCAGGTGACAACTGGCTTTGCTTAGGGTCTCCAAGACCACCATCACATTGAGAGAGTCACCAAAGGAGTCCTGGGACTCAGCGTATAACTAGCTGTACACCTGGCGAAGATTCATCCTGGTGACAGAGTTGGTACATACAGCCAGACCATGAAGGGAGAAGACTGAGGGAGAATCTGGAAGAATCCATGAGCAGGCTTCCCTTTGCTCTCTTCCTCCTGAGGGGTCACCGAGAGCACACTCGACAACCAGCAACAAAAATGTGGCAACATGTGGGCGATGTTTCTGCCCAGGGAAGCCCACAAGAGACACCTTTGATCAAATACTTAATGAATAGTAAATGATCATCATGCCACACAGTTAATAAACGTACGTGTTGTGTATGTATGTGTCTTCATGAGAAAAATCTCATAACTGTATGGCAAAAACTGTAAGAAATGTTTGTGTCATCATAATCATCACCTAAGTTATTTATTGTGTAGAACACTGTAGGCAAGATTTGTTTAGAAGTGGACAGCCTATCCTTGCATAGGCATCAAGTGAGTAATACTTAATATGAAATTAATAGTGTGGTAGTCCTCTTACTGTTTTATAATTTTTCTTTCAAAAATTACAATATACAGTATGCCTCTCTTATCAGCTTATCATCATAGGTAAATGGTTTTAAAAAAATGTAACATTTCCAATACTGTATTATGAATATGTAAATCTAAATGATCAATTCATGAACCTTTATGCCTATAAATAAATATGAATTCCTTCTTCATTTGTCTTTTCATTTGTAATGTCTAGTTTTAGTAATACATATAACATTAAAGTGTTTTGTATCATATAAGAAAACATTGATGTAGGTAGTGACAGATGATTAATCTTATAAATGAATTTACATAAATGTATACAGCATAGAAAAATACAGTACAGTACTATAAATGTATTTTCTCGGTGTGGTTTTCTTAATAACATTTTCTTTCCTCTATCTGACTTTATTTGTTAAGAATATAGTATATGGGATCACGGGAAGATGGCGGCATGAGTAGTTCAGTGGAAATCTCGTCCCCAAACATATATATTTATGAAAATACAATAAATACAACTATTCCTAAAAGAGACACCAGTGGATGCAGTACAACAGCCAGGATACATCTACAT